CTCCTGGCCTCCAGCTCCCTCACCCACAGGCCCTGGCACCCACAGGTGGCCTGAGCCAGTGGGCACAAGGCAGACACGGGGCATTTGGCTCCTCCATGGGCACCGTCACCCTAGCAAACCCAGAGACCCTCGTGGCTGAGCCAGGGCACAAGTGATGCCCGATGGGAACCACCCCAGCCCGACGAGGTGCGCAGTGCCCCGTGGGTGCCAGCCCGGGGACGCAGATCTCGGGGCCCACCTGAGCCAGGGCTGCTGCTCTTCTCCACCTGGACGTGGGCCCACCTGGAGAAGGCGAAGGCGGCCCCGCAGTTCACCCGGCAGATGTACCACTCGGGCTGGCCTGGCGGGGCGGCCTTGTCGATAACCAGCTCTGGGGCCGTGGCTCCGGGCACCTACAAGGCGGGAGGGGGTCAAGGAGTCAGAGGCTCCCTCCCACCCGTCTGGGTGCCCTTGCCACGGACAGGGTGCGGGGACCCTGCTCGACCTGGCGCAGCAGGACCTCACCTCCCTCTTCCCGCAGAACCACTGGTACGTGAGCCCCGGTGGGCCGGTTGCCCAGCAGGTCAGGGACACCCGTGTCCCCTCCATCACCACCTGCGACTCCGGCTGCACCGTGATGCGGATCATGTCCTGGACTGCAGGAGAGGAGAGACCAGCCTGGGCTGCCTGAGAGCCTCATCCCGCACCATCCCATCACACCCAGTCTCATCCTGCCCTGTCCCATCATACCCGGTCCCACAACAGCCTGTCCTCTTCCATCCCATCCTATCACACCCTGTCCCACCCCACCCCTCTGTCCTCTCCCGACCACCTCATCCTTCCTTGTCCCGTTCAGTGTCATCTCACCCACTCCATCTCATCCTGTTCCACCCTATCCCATCCCACTCTGCTCCACCCCACCTCACCCCATCCCATCCCATCTCGTCCCACCACAGCCTGTCCCACCACATCCGTGGCCTGCCTCCCCTCCCATCATGCCACATCCCATCCTATCTCACCCTACTGCATCCATCCCATCCCATCCCACCCAGGACTCTGCTATCCAGAGCAAGACCACCAGCAGGAAGAACTGCTCCTCATCTCCCCCTGACTTCCTTCTGCTGAGCCCCTGTCCTCCAGTGCCCCTCTCCAGGCCCCATGGGACCCTGCTCTCCAGCCCTACCGGCGCTGCTGAGGACCTGGCAGGCCCGCGTGTGCCCCATCCTCTCCAGGCAGCCCAGCAGGTACTTGAGGGTGCAGTCACGCTCAGCCAGGAGCTGCAGGAGGCACTGCGTGGGGCTGCCATGGGGCTCCAGCACCTTCAGCGAGCACGTCTCCAACTCCTCTGCGCTGCAAAGCACCCACAGCACTCAGCGCCGCAGCCTACCTCCCTCCCGGGAAGGACGGGGACCCCCGCCAGGGGACATGCCCAGGCTGTGGCCATGACGGGGTGGCCAAGGACCTGCACGCCCCTTGCTCAGTCCATGGCAGGGCTGTGCCCATATGCATCCTGCCACCCAGTCAGGGACAGACCCCCAGAGATGCCCCCCGATCCTTACCTGCACTTGAAGCGTTTCTCCACCCCGGCCACCTCGGCCAGCTTGCGCCAGCCCCGGCTTGCGTTATCCAGCAGCTCACAGAGCCGGGCCACCACCTCCTCGCCCAGCGAGCCGATGGGCATGCTCCAGTCGCCCATCCCCGCCGCCACCTGCCTGGGGACACGGCGTGGATGAGGTGACCAGGTGACAGGCGCCTGCGCCCCACAGGACACCACCAGGAGCTGGTCTGGCCCCCAGGAAGGAGGGCACCAGCACGAGCTCTCCGGCATTGGGTCACCTCCCCGCAGGAGCCCAGGGCGGTCTTGGCCTCCCCAGGGAGGTGCTGGGATGTGACTGCCAGCAGTCACAATGCCACAAGTTCCCCCTCCGTGCCCGGAGGACAAGAGCCATGACAGCGGCACGGGGGATCCCACTCACCCCCTCGCCGCAGGCCAGCAGCCAAGGCCACATTAGCCCTGCCCCAGGACAGGGACCTTCATGAGCTGGGGCCCAAGGAAGTGGAAAGAGGAGATGTCCCCTGTCACCTTCCCCATCCCTTCGGGGGATATAGAAAACAGGGCCCATCACGGAGGGCTGGGCCTGGGGACCCCCATCCTTCTGGCAGAGACCCCAGCAGGACGGCAGCAGCACCCTTGGGGTCACCAGGCCTCTGGGTGGCGGCTCCAGTGCCAGCATGAGCCCCGCCGGGCCACCGTGAAGAGCCCACAGAGAGGGGTTAGGGGAGGGTACATGGGGGTCCTGGGGCTGGGACCTGCCTCAGCTCCCCTTGACCCCAACAAAGGTTTTGGCAGTGAGGGGATCGTGGCTTGAATCACCCTGGATGGGGGCAGCACCCAGGGACGGGCTCCCTCCTCCTCCCCTCAGGTTCCTCCCCACCAACCCATCCTGGACGGACGCTTGTCCCGGGGACCAAGCCGCCCACAGCGGCTGGGTGACACTTGCCTGAGCAGGAAGACTTCAAGATGGAGGGCAGGGACTCGGGTGCCTCCTCCGCTCACCTCCTGCTGGATTCGGGGGGCTGCAAACGCTGGAGGGGGCGGCGAGGGGAGGGCGAGGTGCAGGACAGGCGCGGCAGGGGCAGGGCACTCACCGCTGGG